CTACTCACTGAGCCACAGGCACCACCCTATACACTGTAATTTGAAAAAGCATCTCCACACCTATTTCCACAGAGGCCATTTTGTATGAGTTGGGGTATAACTTGAGTTCTTCCTATTCTGTATCCAAACCCATTTTGGGGGGTTTCATTTTGCCTTTCCTGTTATACCTGAAGCAAGTGGAATAGAGAAACACCAGCACAGAGTCCAAATTGTCCAAATTAAGCAAGGGACCTTGATTGGCTGGGCCAAGAGCAGGGTCACACCTCAAAGTCTCTTGATCCCTCGAAGCAGGGGTGGAAACCTTTTTAAGGGGCTTTCTGTAGGGTAGGGGGAGTCTTTAATGCAAGCTGAATTTGACAAGAGCCAACACCTATTAAGGGGAGTCATTATAAGGGGAAGCTGGGGTTTTGCAGTTATTACTAAACTCTTTCAACTGAGCTTCCTGTCTTAAAGGGGGAGTGTTGAGCGCCCTTAGCAGGATCGAGTTGGGGAAGAACATTCCTACTTCAGAAACAGGCCTATAACTTCTATTGTGTAGAAAATTCACTTTTGTGCCTCAAAATTTCCAAAAACTTAGCCAGGCCTTGTGGTAGGTTCCTGTAGTCCCAGTTACTGGGGAAGCTGAGGCAAGAGGCTCACTTCACTTGAGGCCAAGAGTTTGAGGTTGCTGTGAGCTAGCGCCTCACTCTACCCAGGGTGACTCTGTGAGACTATCTCAAAAAAAAAAAAAAAAAAAAAATTCCATAAACTCTATCCCCCAGAGATGGTTAAAGAATATATGTGAGCTCAGATAACATGAGGAAGTTGGAGAGAAAGAAAAATAACAGGGCGGCGCCTGTGGCTCTCATTGGGTAGGGTCACCAGCCCCATATATCGAGGGTGTGAGGTTCAAACCCCACCCTGGCCAAACTACAACAAAAAAATGGTCAGACATTGTGGCGGGCGCCTGTCGTCCCAGCTACTTGAGAGGCTGAGGCAAGGGAATCGCTTAAGCCCAGGAGTTGGAGGTTGCTGTGAGCTGTAAGGCCACAGCACTCTACCCAGGGCAACAAAGCGAGACTCTGTCTCAAAAAAAAAAAAAAAAAAAAGAGAGAGAGAGAAAAAACATAGAAGTAAAGGATACTTATACGAAATAAACCTTTTCAGAGACTATGGCAGAGGTGTGTTTAGTATGAAGCAGACATTTGGGTTATACCACCCCCACTGTGCGACTTCATCTGTAAAATGCGGATAAAAACTCACAGGGCTTGTCCTATGGGTGAAATAATGTGAAAACCCAACTATTTTGCACAGTAAGCAATAAAAAAAAATGGAATCTCTTATTACAATGAACTAAAAATTGCTTTTGCATCTACTAGTTTAGGAACCAAAGGTCCACTTAACGAGGAGGTAAGTAAACAAGCAAAGCAAAGCAACCAAAGGGTGAGAATAAGGGTTTAAGGCCTGTTCCGTGGTAATTAAGGTCTAGAATGGGGGCACAAGGCCCTCTGTGCGGACATCCCCCAGCGGCGAGGGACTGGACGCCCAGGGACCCTGCCGGGTGCCAGGCAGCGCCGGGACTCAGCCGCGCAGAACCAGCCGCCGGCGGACCAGCCTTGGCGCCTCCCGGGCGCTCAGGGCGGGAGGGCGGGAAGGTGGCAGCCGGCCTGGCCTTGTAGGGAGCGGAGCGGCGGTGACTGGGCCGGCGGCTGGGGCGGGGCGGGCAGAGGCGGTCCTTTCCTCCCCGGGCGCGGCCGCCGCCCCTTCGCCCGGCGCATTCCCTTGTGGGGTCGGCCCCGCTGACGCCCCGCACCCACTGAGGACAGCACAGACCCCTCGCCCTTCCTGTCCTCCCGGTCGCCATCTCCATCCCTTCCCCACCCTCCACCCCACTCCTCCCGCCCCTGGGTGATTCCCCTCCTGCCTTCGGCCATTTCCAAAGAGTTTGGTTCGAACTTTTGAATCCACCAATCAGCCGCACGCGGCCTCCCCTCCCAGCCGACCGGGTGCGGCCGGACGCGGGACCCCAGCCAGGCGGCGGGGAGGCGGGGCCGTGGCGGCTTGGGCGGGGTCCGGACCCCGCCTCCGGACGCGTGGCCGGGGAAGAGGTATATAGGGCCCCTCCGGCCACACCGCCCTCTCACTACTTCTCCCTCGGACTCCTTGGTAGTCTGTTAGTGGGAGATCCCTGTTGCCGTCCCTTCATCTCCTTCAGCGCCCTGCGACCCTACAAGTCCCCATCATGGTGAGTGGGGCCGGGGTGCGGGGGCCAGGGTGGAGTAGAGTGTGCATCCGAAGGGGCGGCGAGGTGCGCGGAGCTGTGGGCTATCTTTGGGGCCGCGCCCTAGACGGCTCCCGACGGCTCCCGACGGCTCAGGCCAAACTGGCTCCTGGTGGCGGGGCAGGGAAAGCCGACTTCACTGGGCAGACCCCACCTAGGGTTCGAAAACGTGGCCTGAGTTCTGCCCTTAGTAGAAATGGAACGCCCTCTTGATTTTGTAGAAAGGGTATCCTAGCTGGGGCCGGCTACCGCCCTGCGAAGGTCAAGGACCCCTCTCATTGACCTCCAAAAATTGGAAACTAAAAATCCCCGCCCTCATTTCCCAAGTGACCTCACCTTCCCCTTGCATCACGCCCTGGCCCTGGAGGACCTCGTGCGCTCCTGCTTGGACGGCGCTAGACGCTTCCGGGCGCCCCCTCTCCAAGCTCCCTGTGACTCGCTGCTGAGTCACCTGTGGCCGCGCACTGGGGAGAGTTTCCAGTTGCACCAATCCACCTGAAGGGTGGAGGCGGGCTCCTCCTCCGAAGGGAATAATTAACTGTCAATTGTCTGATCTGGATTTCTAGTGTTACTTTAAAAGTGGGAGGTTTATAGCTGAAGCTTTCTACTGGAACCGAGTTTTCAAAACAAGTCCATAAAAGGATGTTTTCTTTAAAAAACCGCCGAGTAAACTAGTACTGACAGCGTATTCTAAGGTTCAGTCTTGAAGAAACGTGAATCTATACACTATTCTATATAGTTAACAGAGGTCTTGAAAACAATTTAGAGAACATCTGTTGGAGGCTTACTTAAAAGAAGCCCTGTTTTTAAACAAGTATTCAAGTATCAAGTATTTCAGAATAGTTTTCTTTGTTTTCTCTTTTTTTTTTTGAGACAGGCTCTGTTGCCCAGCCTAGCTCACAGCACCCTCAAACCCCTGGGCTTAATCTATCCTTCTGCCTCAGCCTCACGAGTAGCTGGGACTACAGGTACCTGCCACAACACTTACCTGGTTTTATTTTATTTATTTATTTTTTTTGAGACAGAGCCTCAAGCTGTTCCCCTGGGTAGAGTGCCGTGGCATAGCTCACAGCAACCTCCA